TGACAGGGACAGCTGTCTAGTCATTCGGATGGGACGAATAACCGAGGTCCCATGTACAAATTGGCTTGCACGTAAAAGATCCCTTGGCAGTTGGAATTCGATATAAGAGTAGGCCGTAGCGCCACTGCCTGAGCAAAATTTCCCTCATAGCACACTGTATGGCGTATGCCCGTCTTCATTAGCCCAGTTTAGGAGCAAAACAGTAGGACGTTAAACCCCATTTCATTTCATTTCTTCTAGAGTAATGGCCCTTGTTTCACTTCGTTGCACCTTTAGAACACTTGAATGACAAAAGTTATCATCTGATCTATATGAAATTTATATGCATCATTTAAATTAGTAAAAAAAAGGAATTATATTGAAATTCAACAATTTCTGTTAATTTCTTTTCACTTTGTTCACCTTATGAACTCGGACAAAAATTATCATCTGATCTGTATGAAATTTATATGCATCATTTAAATTACTTAAACGAGGAATCATACATGTGAATGGTCTAACAACCAAAGTTACCATTCGATCTGTATGAAATTTACACGCATCATTTAAATTAGTGACATGAAGAAGCCTATTGAATTTTGGGAATTTCCAAATATTAAGTATAGAGTTATTGCTCTTGTTAAATTTGGTTGAACCTTGTGAACATTCAAATGGCAAAAGTTATCATCTGATCTGTATAAAATGTATATGTATCATTTAAATTAGTAAAACAAGGAAGGCTATTGAATTTCCTTTAATTAGTTCTAAAGTTATGGTCCTTGTTCCTCTTTGTTGAACCTTGTGAACGCTCTAACAAAAAAGTTATCATCCGATCTGTATGAAGTTTATATGCATTACTTACAAGTTACATATTAAGACGAAAGATCCTATCAAATTTTAACAAATTTCTGTAAATGACTTCTAGAGTTCAGGAAGGCCCTTGTTTCAGTTTGTAGAACCTTTTGAACCCTCAAATTTACTGATCTGTATGAAATGGTCTTGTGAATGCCCCCCATTACCTATAAAAATGAATAAATATGCTACCGATTGGGGATTTAGCTTCTGTGGTCGGATGTTTCGTTGCCTGGCACCCTATCTTTTCATACATAAAGTGTTTTCTACCAGCCTTAAAATACATTAGTATCTGTTTCAGCAAAAAGTCATGAAAGAAATACTTTTTAAAAGCTGTAGTTGTCCAAGAGCTTTCTTGGATTATCAGCGTGCTCAATGAAATGATCTTTAACAAAATATATCCATTACTCTCAAAACAGAGATTATCTTAATAGAATAATCCAAACCATGAGATTCGAACCACCAACTGTATGATCGATGGTTAAATTGTCATACTTTCGTAGATGAAAGTCTGATGCTTTTGATTATTTGTATTGAAATCTACTCAAACATCTGAACAAACAATTTGTTTAGATTAATATAATATATATTTTAAATTATACATCAAAGAGCCAAAACAACAAGTAATATCCAGAGCAATACAATTAAGTTGCAGATTATGTAACAATATGGCTACAGCAACTAAAAGCAGCTTTCAGAATATCAGTCAGCAAAAATCTTAAGAATAACCAATAATCCCTTTTAGAGTTATTGCCCTTGTTTAACTTTGTTGAACCTTGCGAACACTCTAATGACGAAATTTATCCGATCTGTATGAAATTTAAATGCATCATTTAAATCAGTGAAACAAAGGAGCCTGTTGAATTTCAGCAATTTCCAATAATTACTTTGAGCGTTATGGCCCATGTTTCACTTTGTTCAATCTTGTGAACGCTCAAATGACAAAAGTTGTCATCCGATCTGTATGTAGATTATTTAAATTAGTGGAACTAAGAAGCCCATTGAATTTCAGCAATTTCCGTCAATTACGAGTAGAGTTATGGTCCTTGCTTTACTTTGTTGAACCTTGTGAACATTCAAATGACAAAAGTTATCATCCTATCTGAATAAAATTTATATGTATTATTGTCCCCTGCCTGTCTGTCTGTCACACTTCTTGGGACACATTCACTCTCGTTCTAATTGAGCTAGAATTTTCAAACTTGGTATAGGTGTTTATTAGGTCAATGCCTTGACGGAGTTCAAAGATGAGCATTTTCTGCTTAGGGTAAGCAAAGATAAGCAATTTAATTGGTTGATGCTTTGGGACACGATAACTTTAGTTCTTTCTAATTAAGTGAGAGTGATGTAACTTGGTGTATAGTTTTATTACATCAATACCTTGACTACATATGTAAGTTCGATAATAAGCATTTTCTGCTCAGGGTAAGCAGAGCGATAAGCAATTTAATTGGCCGAGACTTTGGAACACAATAACACTCCTTCTAATTGAGCTAGAATGTTCAAACTTGGAAACTTGGTGTAGGCATTCATTAGGTGAATGCCTTGATGGAGTTCGACGATGAACATTGTCTGCTTACGGTAAGCAGAGATAAGCAATCTGATTGGTTGATGGTTTAGGGCACGATAACTTTAGTTTTAATTAAGTGGAAGTGATGAAACATTATAGATTCATTATATCATTACCTTGACTAAGTTTGATGATGAGAATTTACTGCTTTGACTAAGGAGCGATAAGCAATTTGATTGGTCAAGACTTTGGAACATAACAAATCTGCTTTTAATTGAGGTTGAATATTTAAATTTGATGTAGATGTTCATTAGGTGAATGTCTTGACTGAGTTCAATGATTAACATTTCGAGCTAAAGCTAAGCAATTTCATTGGTCGATGCTTTGGGACAAGATAACTTTGATTCTATCTGATAGAGAGTGATGAAACTTAGTGTATAGTTGACAATCAGTTTGATTGCTTGATACTTTTGAAAAAAAAAATGTGCTATTAATTAATATGTGTCATTTTTTTATTTTGGACTTTCGGCGGGGGACATCAGCCTCACTGTTGGCTTGTTTAAATAATAAAACGAAAAAACCTGTCAAATTTCAAAATTCCTGTAAATTACTTCCAGAGTTAAGGCCCTTATAAACTGATCTGTATGAAATTGTCTTGTAAATGCCCCCAATTACCTACAAAAGAATAAATATGCAACAACCCTTGTTGACTGCCCGGGCATATGTTTTGTTTCCTGGCAACCTATCTTTTTTAAAAAAAGATTGCCAAATTTGGTAATAAAATGGCATTGTCCCTGTAACCAGTCACTATCTTGTAAGATATAACTTTTACTATGTCTTTTATAAGGTTTTCGGTATCTCTGAATTCAAAAATGATTATTGAATATCCAACATGACAGAAATTCAAAATGGAATCCAAAATATCTGATTTTAAATAATTCAGGTTTTTCTTTCTGTTGGATATGACATATGACACATGACAGAAATTCAAAATGGAATTCAAAATGTCAGATTTTAAATTATTCAGGGCTTTTTTTCTGTTGGATATGACATATGACATACATGTATCTTCCACATGATATACAATGTCATTTGGTTAAATGACCCCTTGAATGAAGTCCACAATGGCCTCATTTTTATTAATTGTCATTATTTTTTTCCTTTGGATATGGTTTGAGATATGTCTTATGTAAAGTTTTTGAGGTTACTAAGTTCAATTCCATCACCAAAAACTAACTTTGAATAGCCCAGATGATGTAAATTTTAAACGGCAATCATAATAAAACCAGTAATGGTGATTCTTTTCATGTGGATATTGTTTTTAAAATATATCTAATAAGGTTTTTAGGGTTACTGAATTCTATTTTGGGTTCAAAATAAATATAAGAAATCCAAACATCTGTTTAGTGTTCTTTTTTTTAGTGCAATTTTCTTCATTTGGTGTATTTTTGCACCATCTTCACTGGTGTAAAAGTATCCAGCTGTTAAGAATTTGCACCCTAATATTACTTCAGAAATGGTTATGCATTCTTTGTTTACAGCCTTTGTGGTATCACTTCTAGGGATAGACTGAAAATGTCATATCCAACATGAAGAAAATGATGATTAACATAGAATTTGCCATTTTGGATTCCATTTTGAATCACTGCTATGTTGGATTATCAAAATTTATCTTTAAATTCACAGACATCGAAAACCATATAAAAGACATATGGGGAAAATGCCATTTTATTACTAAATTTGGCAGCCATTTTCAAAGAAATTTTTTTTAGGGTTTTGTTTGGTCAAATTCGTTTTTTAGGCACATTTCGCTGAGCTATAAACACTAAGTGTTTGAAGAATTGTAAACAAAAGTTATTCTCCTACCACTAAAACACACTGTCACGAGATATCAATCTCCAAGACTTCATGAAGACTTTTATATTGAATTATGTTAATTAATTCATTTCGCCTTGGCCGAATTTGAATATGTTGTTGTCTGACATGTTTCAATGAACCAAACTGCATTGATTTCTTTTGCAATTTGTTTGGGGTAAAACGTTATCCCTCCCCGCCTAATTGCTCAGTTTCCAAGAACGATGAAATCAATGAACATATTTTAAGTTGAATTATACGACAGTCATCACATTTGTTCATGATGTGGATGGAATACATAGAAATTTGGAAAGTTGCAGATATCAAAGTTAAATTAAGAACTGGATTCAAAAGTTAACTAATCAAAAATGTCACTTAACCATAGTCAGTAGGACAATAGCTAATGAACTAATAATGCTTGTAATATTGATTGAAGAATATGCGTGAGGGCCAATGTAATAATGCCAGAAGGCTTCAGACTAATGATCACTACAAAAATAAGGTCATAAAATTGTTGTATCCTTGCCTTGATGTTCATAGATAGAAATATGATAGTTGTCAACTAGACAGACTGAGAGAAAAAAACAATGTAAATTTTTCATAGGGTGGACTAATAGCATACCACATTGGTCTGAAGATTGGGAGAAAAGTTTAAAATAGGTCCAGTGTTTCCTGCTCTCTCTAAAATCCCAAATTTTATATTTTGCTTATGCATTATTCAAGATAAACTTCTGTCATCTTTTACTACAGTGAGACGTTATTTGTGCACAAAACTTAATATTTAAACTTAATGGTTTGATTTCAGATGGAAAAGATAAAAAGAAGGGAGAACAAGGAGCACAGTATGATTTTGGTTCAGCTTTTCTTGGGCCAAACTTGTGGGATAAAACATACAATGATCCAGATTTTAACTTGGAGTACATGGATTTGGACGAGTTCTTGCATGAAAATGGAATCCCCTTAGGAGATGAGGAACTGGCAGCACTGGCCGATTCCAGTGCAAAGATGCAGAATCGGTCTCCAGCCCAAATGTCACCTAAACAAATATCAACTCCTCCTCTTAACATACAGCCACGGTTCTCTCCTAGCCCAATACAGACCACACAACATCTTCCTCAATCTACAACTTCATCAGTGATGGGATCTCCATGTCATTCTAATCCTCCTCCATCACCTCCAGCTATATCACCAGGTAGGTAGCATGTTTGTATAGCTTATTCTACATGATCAAAAAGTATAGGACAAGAAATTTATGCATCAAAAATTTAATGTGACTTGAAGGAAGTTAACATAAAAGCTTATTAAAATTAATGTGACGAGTTGTAGGCTACTTTGTAGCACTATGCAGCACTATGCAGTGCTATGCGCCGCTGGTCAGGCGTAGAAAGCACAGATGCTAAAAACTCCTCCACAGCCAAACGTGCGGCGCATACTCCCTTCTCTGCTACACATTTTATTAGCCTTGTGATTGTCTAGTATTGTCTCTGGTTATATTTGTAATTCTTTTCTTATATCTAGGACCTTTTTTCACATGTATTTTCTTCTTACTATCTCAGTAGTTAAGACGTTTATCTACCAGGAATAACACAGCATCAGTTTGTGGATACATAGGTTACAAGCTTAGGTTACATTACAATACTTTAAGTCAACATGTCATTTTCTCCACCCCCTAATTTACAGATCGGTTTACTGATGGAACACACTACATCATATCATTCTCTGACAAATCAATGAGGTCTACTCAATCCAGATGGTGTCTCTTGAACCTCAGCGGTCTCTCCTGAATATGCATAGTCTATGCTCTCTAAGAATTTAATAGCTGTTTACCGATCGCCCAGAGCTCCGATATTTTTCTACCCTTGGGTTTTGGCTTTCAATTATCTAATTGGTCAAATATGACGTAATTAATGATGCAATAGTAATTTTCCTATCATAAGTGATCTGGTGATATTTTGTTTTCACATAGAACCAGCTATGTTTTCCAAATTATAAATCAACCCATCACTCAATCAATTTAAGTGTGTGTGAGATATGACTTCTGTACAAAATGTGAACCCATCCAATAAGTTAAAATTTTGTCTAAAATGTATTAATCCTGGTCTGGTTAAGCTAACTTATCTAATTTTTATATATTAATCATCACTGATTATTGTCTTATTTGATGATATTAGACTACTGATTACTACTCCAAATTTCTTTATCTTGTGTTAGAGAAATGGGTATTAAGATTAATATAACTGGCAAAAGGTCTCACTCATTTAATGCATCAATTTCTTGTCTGCCTTCTTTTCTTGTTTTATAGTAATCTTTATAATATACTCGTAAGTTTGCAGTTTTATCATGAACACAAATACAAATGACACAGAGTTTGTTTATTAATGACATTGAGAAAGTAAGGACTGTTTAAATTGACATTAGTTTTGATAGAAATGGCTTTTGGTAGGGTTGGGAATGGCTTTAACTGCCTTTAAATTTGACAAAGTCTCATTACTTTCTGTTGTAGCCTGCGTGTCTCCTCCACACAGCCCAGTCGTAGCTGATGTACCGTTCAACGTAAGCCCCCAGGATTTACAGTTAGTGACTGTCCCAGGTAAAAATTTGGACATCAATTTTCTTTCTTTCTCAAACTTTGACTCACAACTGCATGGAATCATGTTCATTATGAAAAAAGCAAACTGGTTTCATTGTCTCTCATTTGTAATTATGGTCCTAGGATGTTCAATATCATCATGAAACTTTTTACACACATCAACCTATTATAAGCCATATATAAAGGCTACATGACCTTATTTTATTTCAGAAAATAATAGAAAAAAAAACATCCTCATCAGTTTTTATACGCCCACATTGAAATGTGGTTGTACATTGTCGTTGCCAACAATTGCTTGTGGATGCACTAGAGGCTAAAGTTAATATCCGATTGGCTTCAAATTTATACAAAGTGTTTAAAGTCATAAGATGAAGAAGCCTTTTGATTTTCATCGATTTCCGATAATTACTGCCAAAGTTAGGGCTCTTGATCACTTTGAAATATCTTGTGGAAGCTCTCGAGGCTAAAGTTAATATCCGATTGACTTTAAATTTATACACAGTCATGAGACGAAGAAGTCTATTGATTTTCAACGTTTTCCGATAATTACTGCCAGGGTTATGGCCCTTGATCACTTTGAAAAATCTTGTGGATGCTTTTTAGGGACTATACATGTAGTTATCATCTGATTGATTTTACATTTATACACCGTGTTTACATCTGTATACATTCGTTTCGATTGACTTTAGATTGATACACAGAGTTTAAACTCTTGAGACGAACAATTATATTGATTTTCAATGATTTTTGATAACTTGAACAGTTAAATCCATGATATTAAATGTTTTGTATATTAAATGTTAGCATGGGCCAAACAAATTCTAATAATTTTCTGATAATTACTTAATGAGTTGTTACTCTTAATCATATTTTAGTGTATTATAAATGTTTCATTACTGACAAAAGTAAAATATGCTACAACTCTTGTTGACTGCCCGGACAATTTAGCAGCTGTGGGCGTATGTTTCATTCCCTGGCAACCTATCTTTGAGAAATAATGAAACGTAAAAATGGATAATCGAGTCTTTGGATTTTTCGTACCGACTTTAATAATAATGATGGAATCTAACCTAAAATTCAAAAGCTAATATCTCGGTTCAGGTTGGAGCAATTTGACTGAAATTTTCAGCATATTCTATATATGTTACCTATTTTTTAACTATTATAGCGAGAACTGTCAACTTTTTATCTGATCCCCGATAATGCCCCTTTAATTAAGAAAGCATAATCAAAATACCAATGCTAGATAACCCCCTGGCTTGGATTCAATAGGTAGAAAAGGTTGTTCACCCACAACAAACTGATGGCAGTCTTATTACATTGTGAACAGCAAAGATCAAAAAAATTTCAATTACATGACTTTGTAAATACGGAATGGATTTGAGCCATTGAACTTCCTATTAGAGACTTATTTTGCACAATATTGTAGTTTCCATGGGATTCCTATTACAGTGACACATCAAGACTTCAAATGTTTCCGGTTGAATTTGGAAGTGTAAATTTGGCTCAATTATCAAGTACTCAACTCTGATACTGTAAATGTTCTTGACATTCATTAATGACATTGGACAATAGAAAATTGATTCATTGTTATAGGAAATAGAGATCATAGATTCACATTATAACTAGCTTAATTTTTATACGCCCACATTTTCATGTGGATGTATATTGTTGTCGCTGCTGTCCGTCCGTCCACAATTTGTTTGTGGACACTCTACAGGTCACAATTTTTATCCAATTTTAATGAAACTTTAAATAAAAGTTATCTCCAAAAGACCTTGATTCCTTTCGATATTGGATTGTTACTTCATGGATTATGGCCCCTGATTGTGTGTAAAACCATGTTTTGAGCTTGTGGAGACTCTAGAGGTCACAATATTTATCCTATTGTGATGAAACTTGAAATTTATGTTTATAACCCAAAGATCTCAGTTCCTTTCGATATTCGCGCATCTCGGACCGTAAATTCCTTGATTATGGCCCAAGATTGGACGAAAAATGGAGTTTTTAGATTGTGGACCCGATTTTGAAAAACATTTAAATATATCATTGTTACACCCTAATGACGATTGAGTTTGAATTTCCTTGTATGGAAATAGTGTAAAAGTATTGTGTAAATACCAAGGTTGTGGACCCTCTAGAGTTCACAATTTTTATCTAATTTTGATGAATCTTTAAATATATTTGCACATATCGAACTGTAACTTCCTAATTGTACGAAAAATCTTGTCTTTAGATTGTGGTGCCTCTAGAGGTCACAATTTTTATCTGATTTTAAAAATAGTTTAAATATATCACCATTTCACCATAATGACGGTTGAATTCGAATTTCGTGAAAAAACGGATCTACCCAACAAAATGGCCGCTCCTTGTATGCAGATAGTGTAAAAGTATATAATACCAAGGTTGTGCATCCTCTAGAGTTCACAATTTTTATCTGATTTTGACGAAACTTAAAATATATGTTTATATCCTTTTGATATCTGCACATATTGAACTGTAACTTCCTGGATTATGGACCCTGATTTTACTCTGTTCATCTCTGTAAAACGTAGGCATACATGTATCTTGCAAGGAAACGGCTTGTTTGTATGGTCATAATAGTTATATTGACTTAGGTTTTGGTATACGTAATTATTATTCCTGATTAGAACCCCAAAACCATTCAAGATACATGTATCTTTAAGAAACTTTATAAAAGTTGCAACATTCATACATCTAGAACTGAGCATATAACTTTTGATAACTTTGTACTTCTAAACAAAACTGGTAGCATAATTAGAATGATTATATTAATACTATTTACTAAGTATCTTATATTTATAAGAATACTATTGGTATTTGGTTGTTAAAGTTGTTGAACCATTGGCAATAATGTTTGTCCTTCTACCTTCCAAAACATATTCAAGGGCATGGGAAATTGATAACGGCATCTTTCATCTTTTAATTTTAACATGTTTGGATGTCTTTCATTTACACTTAAACCCTGTAGATCATTCCGAAAATTAACATAAACTTTGATTTCTGCTCATTTATTTATCAGTGTGCAGTGACAACTAAACACCATTTTTGAGACCAGGGAAATTCAAGTAAACTACATGTAATGTCTCTTTGTTAGGTAGAAATTGAGATGAAATATAAAGGTCCATGTCTTTCGTCAGAATTGCAGTTTATTTAGACAAAAATAGATATTCCATGATGTATAGATTAACCCTGATTTGTATCAATGAGTTGTTGTCCTTATAAATGTTGAATTCCAGTCGTTTGTTTCCTATGACACCAATGTTAAGAGCCGCAAAGAGAATATTTTATTTTATTATTTATCTTGGATATGTTCTGCTTAATCAATCACATTTTAAACATATTTATCTGATATTGTAGGTCAAGAAATGTTTGATCCCCGTAAACGTGCATTTACTGAAGAAGAACTGAAACCCCAACCTCTCATTAAAAAGTCAAAGAAGGTAAATTGTTCATGTTTTACAAAATTGTAATAAAGTTTAAACACATCACTAGTCCTATACAATATGTCAAATGTAAAACACTCGAGGACACACTTGAGAAACTAAAAAAAAAATCCACTAAAAGTGGGGTTCTGTTCTAACTAAATTTTGTATTCCAGGTGCACTAAGTTTGGACTACCAAAAAAGGTGACTTTTTGGCTAGTTCATAATGCATGTTTGATAATTGTAATATTACCTAAAATAGGAATTTTTTCTATAGAAATAAAAACACCTTGCCTTATTGTTAGGAGGGAGAGATGGGGAGGTCAAAGCCAAGCGTTTTTCTTTGGATTTTTAAACAAATAATAATTGGTTTATTGTGCTATCTTCAACACAACTGTCAGATAACTATACTGTCTACACATCTTCCGTTTAACTTGAAGGCTTTCATGACTCTACATTTGTTGCTACATAAACAACAGTTTTAAGGTTGTGCTCAGATTTTCTCTTGCTAACAACCTCTGTTAATTAACAGATATTTTGACTAGAAAGCTAAAGTGTTAGACTGGTTCAGTTTTCTGAGAGACAAAAACAAGTTTTTGCTTGAAAATTTCAGAAACTCTTCTGATTAATTCATTTCCTTTTTCTCAAGAGGAAACCAAGTTCTTTAATAAGTTCCTGTCCTTTTTAAAACTTTTGTTTTGTTTCCTTACTTAGGTATTTGTACAAGATGAAAGAAAGGATGATAAATATTGGGCTCGTAGAAATAAAAACAACACAGCCGCCAAACGGTCAAGAGATGCCCGTAGACTGAAGGAGAACCAGATTGCTATGAGGGCAGCATTTTTGGAAAAAGAGAATAACATAATGAAAGCAGAAATGGAAAAATTGAAGAAAGAGAACCATCACTTGAAGCACAGATTGACAAAATATGAAACAAGTTAAATGTTTTATGTTTGGTGTACATCCTCATTACTGTTCCTCACATCACTCTATATTTGACACGTATTGAGGTCTAGTAATTTATTAATATTGTCATTCATTATTACAAGTATAGGTTCTATGAAATTGGAAAAATAGTAGAAACATAAAGAAGGCAATTTTCACTCACATTTTCCTTATCACCGTATTTTAATATGATATAAATATGTATCGTATGATCATAATTCATTAAATTATACATATCCAATAATGTGTACTGAAAAAAATAACATTGTAAATTATGCATGAGATTTTTCATACACTCAGTTTTTAAAATACGGTTTATGAATTTGTTGCATGTGGATTTTATCCAGTGAAAAATATGATATTTATCTTAAATGAACATCTAAATTTGAATTACCGGTAATTGTGGTATGGATATAGTTTATATACCAATGTGTATGCTCAAAGTAATCATCAGTCACTCAACAATGACCTATGAAAGTATATGTCACATCTGTATGTCTGTTGATTTAGTTATTGCGTTTCAGTGATGTCTCGTATAATTCTGTACTTAATAGTACAGTATGATTAGTACTATATATGTTCAGACAGAGATACTACAACATTTATATAATAGCTGTGTTTATATCGCATCAAGGTCAGGTTATTTAGTGCTGTATTTCTTGGCTTGACAACATAAATAATGACAGTGTATCAGTTCTTGGTGTAAATGCAGCTATTGTTATGGGTTAATTCTCAACAATATATTACTGATATTTAAAGATGGCCATATGTCAACCTTAAAGGACAATATTGGTGCCAGTCATTATCACATATGTGATAGAGCTGGTTAAACACATTCCAAATATAATTTTAACACAGAGATCATTGCTACGATAGCTGAGTAATACAGGTTTCCTGAATCGGAAGTGACGAACGCCAAAGGAAAACACGGGTCATACCTCTATATAACTGACAGATGTGACGAGTGATTACAGATACACAGCCGAATTTCTGCTCACTAATAATTCCTTCCAACACCAAAAGTTGTTATATGGGACTGTAAGAGGATACCTGACAATTCAATAAAGTAATTGAATGTCATTAGATAAGAGAACACAAGAAAAATAGAACTAGTCCGTACATTCCCTTGTTTATATTCATTCTATACCTTATAAAAACATGGTAATGCACAGACTTTTTCTGTTTTTCTTTCGTGTTCTCTTATCTAGTGGCAGTCAATTCTTTTTATGAATTGTCAGATATCCTCTCACAGTCTCACACAACAACTTTTGGTCTTGGAAGGAATTATTAGTGAGCAGAAATTCGGACGTGTATCTCTTATCACTCATCAATTCAGTCAGTCATATAGAGGTATGACTCATGTTTTCCTTTGGCATTAGTCACTTCCGATTCAGGAAACCTGTATTACTCAGCTATCGTAGCAATGATCTCTGTGTTAAATTTATATTTGGAACGTGTTTAATTAGTTCTATCACATATGTGATGATGACTGACACCAATATTGTCCTTTAAAACTCAACTGGTAACAATTCAATGACATACCCAGCTGGCTTGAGTTGGGTACAGATTTAGATCAAGGCTTTTATAATACAAAAGATTGCTTATATCTAGCTGAATATTTCTAAGATACCTTAAAGGGGGGCTTATGTCGACTTTGCAAATCAAAGCAGCAACTAGTTCAGGTCAATTGCAAGTGTGCTTATGTCGATCATATCAGCAACTGGGAGCAACTGAATTCAGAGAGCTTGTGTCGACTTGGAACTAATAGCGATTACACTTTACACGTGGCCGTTAATTTATTCATCACACAATCAACAAAATAGCAAATACCTTAGAAGAAGCACCCCGAAGGCATTTACATCATCAACATTTGAAAAGTGGGTGTCTTCGTTGGCGTCCTTTTTGCTTTTTTATAAAGTCACATGACACATAACTGTTATCGTGTGATGTTATTTCCATGGAAACTAGTTGACACCAGTCGTAAGTGCGCTCATGTTGACAGCAACTAGTTTCTGCTAGTTGCAGAAAGTTAAACATGGGCAACTGGCTTCAACTGACTGGAATTAGTTGATTTGAGTTGTAATCGGCATTCAGGTCGATCTCTTTCATTTGTCTTCAGTTAAAGCCAGTTGCTCCCGGTAATCAAAACTTCAGTTGTAAGGTCGACATAAGCCCCCTTTAAGATACACATGGGCATTATGATATGTATATTATATTATATTCATCTATTTAGACATTGACAATGGCAAGGATTACCAAGCTCTTTATTATAATAATTAAATGTAATATTGGTTTTTGTTATTCAATGACAATAATAAAAAGCATATTTATCAACACATGGGGAAATTTTGATTTTTATCAATATTTTCACAATGAATGAGATCTTTTTACACAATTCTAAATGGCTCTGACATACATATACATCTAAATGCTCATCATTTTAAAGTGACCCCTAAAATAATATAAAGTAATTTTACAACTTTAGAAAATGTTAAATTAGGAGTCAAAATTCTTGCATCAAAATCTGTTTGAGTTACTCCATCTGATTTTAGTTATTTTGAACTGATCAATTCTCTATTATAAAAATATAGAAAATAAAATTGAGTGTGGATAAATATGCTTTGTGTTTGTACAGTTATATTGTGCCTTTACAAGATGGGTCTTGGCTAGTTATGTATATAGAGTTGCCTTGAAGTTAAAATTGTTTGTTAAAGAAATATAAACTTATATATGTGTTGAATGTAAAAATTTTATTTTTATTACTAAGATTTATGATTATTTGAATCCGTGTACATCTGATTTGTACCAGATTGCATTTTACAGACATTTTCTTCATTTTGAAAACAACTGAGTTGATAAAAGAACTTAAAAGTCCTCCGCACATGGATAATGTATATTTTTCAGTCTAAGCAATGTCAGCCTCCATAAATATATTTCAGTATTTTGAAAGGCAATTGTTAAAGAAACATATATGAACTGTATTTGCGGGTGTAGTTAAAAGTGATCCACACAGTTTAGCAATGATTTATGGTCAAAATATGGGATTTTGTGACTTAAGTCATATTTAGAGATTGTTTTCCAGCTAAAAAAAATGGTGGAATGAATAAATGTAGTTTAGCATATCACCAACATGGTTCTTATTTTGAAATTTATTAGAGAATTATGTACCTCAGTTTTAGTATAAATTTAATAACTAAAGATAAACTAATTCTCACACGCTAAAAAAATTGTTAATTTGCCTTCACTGGATGGTGGGTGAAAATGCCTCTTATGGTTAATGTGAGTCTATGGTATATTTTTATGTGACCTTCACTACCTCTATATCTTGAAATGAATTAACTACTCATCATTAACAGTTGTAGAATAATATCATGTAAACAATTAAATATATCAAAATTAAATGGTTGGACATGTTTCATACATAAATTTAAATAAATAATATTTTTAAAAGATTTTAGGGTGATATTTTAACAAAACATTTTACTGTATTATTTTAGTCTCTGTGGAACAGAGATTTTTTATTCTTAACAATTTTCATTGTATTAGAAATAGAAAAACCCTTGTAAAATTTTATGTTATTTTTAGGATGTGATATGTTAACATGTCTATTTTATTACTTAAAATATTTTGTTGAATGACTGCAAATTGTAATATAGTAAAAAATTTAGCAAAAATAGTAATTTATCAAACAAACCAAGATCACAGATGACATTTTATCAGCTAATGTCACTATTTTGTTAAGGTACCTTTTTGCCGATCAAAGGCATGTGCACAGGTGATTATTTGTTGGTGATTTTAAGTTACTGTTGCATTATCATTTGTCTACTATATATTATACATCCTGACAGATTATCCTTGATTTTTCATCTGTTAGTTACATATGCGCTACTGGCAGACAATCCATTGCTGTCCTTGAAAGCGGCCGGGAATACTATTGCAAAACATCTGGGATGTGAATTGGGTGTTGCTAGACAGATTGTTGCAGATGAAAAATCAGACACTCTGTGACAAATAATCACGGGTGTACACTGGCCTTATATATTGATTTGATGATGATTGGTATATGTTGAGATAACATTTATTTCTCTCGCAATACAATGTAAAATGGCATTTGGTATTATTTTCAAAATAATCCTCCTCAATAAGTTAGCTATATATATAATGGTTAGGTAATAAGGATTATAAAGAGTTTTCGTGCAAAGAAAAGACATTTCATAAAAGTATTAGTGTTAGTCTGTGTTAATCACATAAATGGTAGCCGTTAATATATTTTGACAGGTAATACTAAAACCTACCCATATACATGTATACAGACAATTTTATAGGTTGATTGAGAAATTGTTTTAGATATGAAATTCCATAAAAGTGCATATTAATTAGGAATGCTAATGAGGAGGAAAACTCAAGAAATTTTTAGACTGAACAGTTGATTTACCAGATTGTTTCTATTCATTAATTAAAATGTTAACGGATAAAAAGATATTAAGTTATAGTTAGAATATTATTACAAGTATTTCATCATTGTTATAGTATATGTTATATATTATTATTAATAGTTGACATAAATGTCACACATGTTATGTTTTGTTAACCTATTTAGTGTAAGCATATAATCTATTAGATATTGTTAAGTTAGTGTTATTGCTTCTTTCTGTATGACATCTAATCTTACTTTGTATATTCTATGTTAACTGCAGAAATAAACACATATTAATATCATTTGTTTGTAAAAATAAAGTTTTTATTTCGTGTCTTTATGTGCTTAATACTACTTATAGATTTACTGTACTGTGCGCATGGCTCCTTTTCAAATTTTTAATTTAAGCATTGCTCTTAGTTTTCATCATTGTTCATTGATATTAAAGAGGGATTATCATTTTAAATAAGAATATAATATTTTGATTAATTTACCCAAATTTTACGACCTGTAATAAATCTTAAAACACCCCAACCATGGATTGGCTGATCTTTCACTATAATGTGCAAGGGATCTAAGTTAAAGTATCTTAATCATTAAAAATGTCCAGAATCCCAACAATTTTCAGGTGCTTCTCCCCACTGAACTCCCCATGAGACCCTCAGCAGCTTTTCTCTCGACCTACGGTTTTCCACTGCCAGGGAAATATTCTATTCTAAAGTCTGTATAGGCCTAGCCTTAAATCTACTTAAAGTCTCTAACTCAGTATCATCCAAAGTCTTACATGTTGAAAACACGAATTATTTGTCAATTCAAATCAACATTGATGTTGTGATCTTACTGGGAAAAGGTAGGCTTCTGATATCCAATATTTTAGACAAAATAAACATTTTACCATTGGTACACAATTTCCGTTAATTACTTCTAGAGTTATGGTCCTTGTTTCACTTTGTAGAAACAACAAAAGGTAAATTCATATGCATTATTTTTATAAGTAACAAAGAGGAAGACTATAGAATTTCAGTGATTTCCATATGTAACTAGCGTTACAGCACTTTGTTGAACCTTGTAAATGTAAACAAACTAAAGACATAAAATTGATATCATGCTCCCGTTACCTAGAGTAGAAGAAGAATAGATATGTCATAACCCTCATTGACTACCCGGACGATTTAGCTGTTGTTCTTCTATTTTTCTAGATTACTGACCAAAGGTTAAAATATGGTCTAGATATCATTGATACACAATCTGATTACAGATCCTATTTCGTTTCGTTTTGTATAGTTCAAAATTTTGTTTTCCTTGTCTTTACTATACTAGGATCTGGGAGAGTTGTTAGCCAATGAAACGGTCTGTTACGGCGTGTTCTCGGTGTGCTGTGCATGGTACTGTGGGTATTCCACTATAATCATCCACGGTGATTGGTTAATCAAATGCCCGACATCATAGGTTCAAATATC